TGTGAATTTTTAGAGGTCTTCTAGTATGTTTATTGTCTGGATATATATAATTTTAGTTTCTCACCAATCATCGACCACGTAAAGTTGATATATATAAATGGGAAGGCGACAACAGGGATTGGATATATTAAATACTTTTGCTTTTGATACCAAAATTTTCGTTGAACAACGACAAACGAAATCGTTGATTCCATACAGGAATTTCTTTATTAGCCTTAACTCTAGTTGACCAAATCAAAGTAGTTCTCTCTCATAATTTTTTAATGTCCCTGCATTGTCAAAGGCGGTGGCTTTGACGGTTTGGTGTTATGAGTTAATTTAGAGACAGTTGTTCAGGTTAGGTAACCGGCTTTGACGGTTTGGTGTTATGAGTTAATTTAGAGACAGTTGTTCAGGTTAGGTCCGTTATGAGGTTAATTAAGACACTAATAACAAATTTGAATATGACATGAGGATTAAAATAAGGCTGACGGTTTATGTCTGCCACCACAGAATACAACCCCTTGCCCAGAAATTTTGTTTTATTTCTGGGATTTTTTAGTCGGTCAAAAATGGTAATGTACGTGTTGTGGTTTAGGGTTTCATGGAATGGTCAGCTGCGATGGGTGGGATTCGAAGCAACGGCGGCGAAATGATCATAAGATCTTATCAACTTATTGAAACAAATATCAATTCATTGTTATATCAGCGTATCTGTAAAATAATTAAATATTTCCACATTCATTCATTACTTTCTCTGTTAGTGCTCCAAATATATATCCCATATCATATTGGTTTATAAAAAACAAAACTCATCATGTATATGTAATTAACTAAACAATATAGTATCCCACCTCCCACGTTATAAAAAGAAAAAAATTGACTAAATTATTATCTAAACTATATACTAATAGAATTCTCTTTTTAATTTTCCATCATAACAAAACAGTTAAAGGCAGCAACGTAATTTCACAAAACAAAATTTTACTTTTTTTATTTAAGCATAGCCTACAAATAATTTTAACATCTCTAATTTTTAAAAATTAAAATTCTCTCCCTCTCTCCCCACTCCCACACGTTCGCTCTCTTTATATAAGATCTCTTTTAATTTTAAAAACAAAAATAAAACCTTTCACACGCTTAAGCGTACCATCACTCAGAAAAAGATAACAAGACCAAATCCCAATATGCGTTGGTGGCCTAATAGATTCAGTCAACTATGCATGGGTCGCTTACAGCAAAAATGCAATGGTGTGAATGCATTTTTTTTTCCAATAAGGTGTGAATGCATAAATAAACGTACACTACGTACACTATCATGTTTCATTTTCTTTGCCGGCCATTAAATATTTTGCAATTTGCAAATAAGTGTGAAAAAATTACTTTTAATAAAATATAGGATAGGTAGATTTTAATTTTCGTAAAGTTTAAGGGTGAGTTCGTTTAATTTGTGGATTTTGATATATTTTGGTGACAAAAAAATTACACATGCACTTGAAATTTTATCTTATTTTTAATTATTCCTCTTGTATTCTACACAATATCTCATTTTACACTCTACATTCCATTATGGGTTAATGACAATCTTGAAAAAAATAGCTATTTCATGCCAACGTGATCTTTTGGGGTTTCAGGATATTCCAATTGTGGAATAAGCTTAACTAATTAACAATTGAATCCCTAGCCACTTCAGCCAAACTAACCTATCATTCGATCCATTTGATAGACTGAGATAAAGTAGAATACAAAGAATAAGTATTGAAGATAAAGAGCGACAAAGTAGTGTAAGAATAAGAAATAATTTGTGTATAGAGTACCCGGGACGTAGCTAAATGTAATTCTTTTAATTTCTTAAGTGCTCAGAATTCCTCCTAAATTAAATAAAAAAAGAAAAATAAATTTACACAAATGGCACACGACCTTTTCCACTCTAATGTCAACGTTCTTCCGAGCTCGTTTTTTACCGAGCAGTATCCAAACCAAACGTGTTCTTCGAGTACACCGGGGGTGTTCCATTTTCTTTTAGTTCGTCAGCCTGTAATGTAGTTTGGCCACGGTCAAAATGATGTTATTCAACATGGTTTGTTTGCTTGAGAACCAAGTTTCTGACTTGTGTTCATATCTTTATGCCCTGACGAGTCACTAATTTAATCAAAATGTTTACTGGATATATACTACCAAAGTCATCTTATATGTCTGTATATGTTCAGCATTTCAAAGTCCTTATAAAAAAATGCAAATTTATACGCAATTGTGGAAATAATGCGTTAGCAACTTGTTTTCCAGTGCCTATATAAACATCACAAATATCGACCTCTGAGATATCACAAGAGTAATACAATATCTTCATAAAATATTAGATTCTCAAACTTCTCATTTCCCCTTTAAGCTAGCTCTTTTGTTCCCCATATGGCACGCTTAGCCTTTGTGCTAGCTTGTGCTCTAGCGCTATTGGCTTCCTCAATAGCCTCTGGTGCAATTGTTGAGCATTCTTTTAACGTAAGTCTTGCCTCAATTTTGGGTATGCTCATGCATGTCTCTAAGATGACTAAAACCGCATTCTGATGTCCAAAATTACTTCTGATTCAATTTGATGAAAAGAAAAAAAAAAAGTAAATATTTTTGGGTCATAGAAATGGTTTAAGAAACAAATTCAAACGGGCCCTTTGGGATCTTTATTTCATCATGCATATTTCCTCACCAATTATTTGAATGTTTCCTTTAATAATAGTAGTCATTTTTTTTTCCATTGTTTTCAGGTGAACAACCTAACTATTAGCCGATTGTGTCGGAATCAATCGATTACCGTAGTAAATGGAAGTTATCCAGGACCAACCATATATGCACGAGATGGGGACACACTTATTGTTCACGTTTTAAACCAGTCGCCCTATAACATTAGCATTCACTGGTAAGTACCAATTATTCAAAATCATTTAACAACCCCCAAGGGAATATTGAGTTATGATTTGTTCACGTTGTATAGTTTCTTTCTTAATGCAGGCATGGAATCTTTCAGCTTCTAAGTGCAGTGGGCGGATGGACCTGCGTATGTAACTCAATGCCCTATACGCCCCGGACAAAGCTATACTTACAAATTTAATATCACCGGACAAGAAGGCACCCTTTGGTGGCATGCCCACATTTCGTGGCTCCGGGCAACCGTCCATGGAGCACTCATAATCCACCCAAAAGCCAATCGATCCTTCCCCTTCCCCAAGCCCGCCAAAGAAGTTCCCATCATATTAGGTAATTAACGATTAAACTATACCATTCAACTTAGTTAATGTTAATCATGATACGTACTTAAAGAGAAACTTTTGTGACTAATTATATATTATAATTAACTATTGGATGGAATTCCAGGAGAGTGGTACAATGGCAATGTGGTCGACATTGAGGAAGAAGGCCTATCTAAAGGAATTGGTCCTAACATTTCAAATGCTTACACTATCAATGGACTTCCTGGCGATCTCTACGACTGCTCTCAAAATCGTATGTAACCGTGCATGCATGCATACAAGTAAATTTATTGATTTATTGTATATATTATTTTTGCATGATGAATTAACCATTTGACATCAAATTACCAGAAACATATCAGTTCAGTGTGGTGAGAGGAAAGACCTACCTGCTACGCCTAATCAACGCTGCACTCAATAACCAGCTCTTCTTCAAGATAGCCAATCACAACATGACAGTTGTCGCCATCGACGCCACCTACACCACTCCTTACGTCACCGATGTGGTGGTTACGGCACCCGGTCAAACTACCGACGTTCTCGTTACATTCAATCAACCTATCGGATCTTATTACATGGCCGCCACTCCGTACGCTAGCGCTAGTGATACCATTGACTTTGATAACTCGATCACCAGAGGCATCATCGTCTACAAGAACTCCACATCAACCCCCATTATGCCCCTAATGCCCAACCCTCACGACACGCCGTTGGCCCACAAGTTCCTCACTAATCTCACAAGCCTCGCTGGTGGGCCCCAGTGGGTCCCAGTCCCACTCGAGGTGGACGAGCATATGTTCGTGACAATCGGCGTCAATTTGGCGTTATGTCCCGAAAATGCCACGTGTCAAGGTCTATTCAATAACAAATGTCCGCGAGCATGAACAATGAGTCATTTGTGCTCCCAAGCAATACGTCCATGCTAGAAGCGCAATTTCACAACTGTAAGCGGGGTTTACACTAGAGACTTTCCTGACGATCCTCCGGTCAAGTTTGATTACACAGGACACGAACATCAGCCTCGACTTATCCCTGATATACGCGCCAAAATCAACCAAGGTCAAGACACTGAAGTTCAATTCGACAGTAGAGATGGTGCTTCAAAACACGGCATTTTTGGCCATCGAGAACCACCCGATGCATCTCCACGGCTTCAATTTTCATGTGTTGGCACAAGGGTTTGGAAATTACAACCCGATTAATGACTCCAAAAAGTTTAACTTCGATAATCCGCAAATACGTAACACAATTGGTGTGCCAGTAGGAGGATGGGCTGTGATCAGGTTTCAAGCAAATAATCCTGGTTAGTTTTCGTAATCATCTCCTTAATTAAGTTTCTAATTTGTATTTTAATTATATCATAAATTAATTTCTGATTATTTGTTTTAAATTATTGTTTCAGGTATTTGGAACATGCACTGTCATTTGGACGTTCATCTGCCGTGGGGGCTAGGAATGGCTTTTGAAGTTGAAAATGGACCGACGCCAGAATCTACTTTGCCTCCCCCACCACTTGATCTGCCCATATGTTAGAAGTTGTTCAGAAGAGACTTCAAGTTATTATTTCATTTCGTATCTTAAATTATATTTTCGTTGTCAATATTACCAAATGAATAAATTTGTAATAAAAGCAGTCTCAAATGTATGTAATATTATAAGTTGGTCATCATTGTTTGACTAAATCACAATAAATTATTTAATTACTAATATTTGTAGTGCCTTAATTTATTCACGAAATGACCCCGCAATCCTTTGTTTCCTTAGTTACATTATTTCTGATCTCGTTTTCTTCTAACAAAAAAAAATTTTTTATGGCTAGTATAGTAATCTTATTTTAATGAATCTTCACTTTACCTTATATATAACAAATACTAATAAACATGAGCGTGACTACTTACAATTCAATGTTGTCCTAATTGACTATTGTAATTTGAATTTTACACACATTGACAATTTCTCTTGCATGTGATTAAGTTGTGTCCATGTTGTCCAAGTTGACTTCGAAATGAGTTGGCATCTTGCTATGATAGCCTTGATCACATTGCAAGATCAAATTCCATATATGTGGGACGTCTGTACTCACCTTCTAATAGAGGTAATGAATAAGAGTGATCCAAATAACATTATTGGTTCAATGTGCACCTTTTTCTGACCTCATCTACTCCTAAACAATAACAATGTCATAAATGTACATATTTGAAACAGAAGTTTGGCGGTCTAGTATTAGGGATTACGCTTCAACTAATGTGGCAAATCTCCTCCAAAATTTGTTGCCACTAACATTCCAAAGGAGAAGCAACATGCATGGCTATAAGGGACCAGGGGCAAATGCAGGATGAAGTTTTCTTGACGATTCTTGCGAAAAAGGACTAGAGGCATATGAAGGGGCATCGCCATAACTCGACAGTTCTTCCATAGCGCGGTGAGGGTTGGACCGTTGTTTTTCACAAAGATAAGGCAAGAATACTCCTACATTTTTAAAACACAAGCATGTTAGTAGTTTTACATCAAGTTAGAATACTTCGATACGATGTTAGATAACCACTAAATGCTAAGATTAAGAAAAATCATCAATCATATGCACGTAGATTTGCGAGATCTTAATTACATACCTTCTCCAACAGCCATGTTGAAGTAAAGTTCAATAATGTTAGGGCACTTGTGGTAACAAGCTGTTGAACAAAGCTTATTGAGAACTCGAGGGTCAAGGAGGGTATCAGAGGAAATTCCAATTGCCTTCCTATCAACACCGCATGCCTTGATGCACTCATCCGTCTCTATGTATTCAGCCATCTTCTCTACCACCACTCCCGATGTCCTGCATTCGTGTTCAACCTTTCCGCCTTTCTTAGCCATCGTCTCCAACAAGCATCGTTTCCCCGACGATGACACTGAAAATGCGCAAATCTCGTTTGGCAAATGCTCACATACAATCTCACCTGAAAATTAAAACCAAACGAGATTGATTTCAAGCTAACCAAGTTTAGCGATTAAAGTAATGATATTTGTGTACCTAGAGCTGCATGGATGAATAGGAAAGAGTGGAAGAGGAGCAAAGGAATAAACATGGTTGACAAATCCGTGGTTGAACAGCCTGAAGTAATTGACTAAGAAAAAGAGATCTGGTTTACGAGAGATAAAAGGAGATTGATATGAACTATATATAGGGAGGAAACCGATTAAAAGGTTCTTAATTGTTTAAGTATAGCTCCATACAATTTTAAGGCGTCTCTATATTTAGGACTCTAAGTATTGATATTGCAATATCTTGCTTCTTCCTGTAAAGTTCCTGAAGCAAGAAATTGTGTGTACTTAACTATGTTCAGGTCGTTCACCTGTTACCCTAAATGCACATTGATTTTTTTTCACTTTATAAGTACAATATAATTAATAGTAAGACGTGAAAGTATTAAATAATTATACATACACATTTTGGTGCGGGTTGGACCCCCACTAATTTCCTTTTCCCTAACAGTATATTGCATAATTTATTAACGCTATCGATCCACTAAAAATTTTATTGAGAGACATATCTAATTCGCGCCAAACTAACCAGAAAACGTATCCCAATTCCAAGAGGTTCAAGAGGATTGGGCTTATTATGTCTTCAGGTACTCATAAGATTTTTTTTTTTATTATTATTATTATTTTGGCTAAAATCTAGATATAGTTCAGTGCCTCTGTTTCAAGTCTAAAATGGGGTGTTATATTTCTTCTCTCTAAGTTTGATTTCCATAAATAGAAAGTTCCAAAACAATTTGTTCCTGGCACATTTTGCTTAAACCAATATGAAACCCTCAGTACCGTTACATGATCTTTGTAAAGTAGTACAATTACGTTTAATATAACGTTGTATATCTCACCAAAACCCACCCACAAACAAAATGAACTCAAATTCCACCTCTCCTTTTCCCACTTACTTAATTATTCCTCACTTCATTTACGTTAATATATAATTCAAAAGAAACTACATGCAGAAACTACACAGCATGATTACATAGGACTAGGAGCAGCTCCAGGTTCAAACGCCTCGGAAGGAGGAAGTGATTCTTCCTCAGAAGGGGGATATGCTACACTCAACCTTGATGGTACTTGAGAGCCGTAGGGACTGGGGGCGGCCTCGCCGGAGCTCATAAGCGCGATCATGGCACGGTGAGGGTTGGAACGTTGCTTGTCACAGAGATCGGGCAAGAATACTCCTGCATTTGTCAAAACATATAATTAAGTTCCATATATTAGTTTTATGTTACATTGTGATTAACATATATAAGTTTTTACTTACGTACAATGATATGCCTACTATACTATTGTTGTAAAAATTGATTGCGTAATTAACATATGATACAATATAAGAATGTTTTATATACCAGTTGTATGTAAGAATATTTGGTTCAATCAGAGGCCTTCATGCATCATCAAAGTTATTAAATTGTACGATAGTGAAAGGGGGGAAATTTGATTGAATTAGAAGAAAATCCATCACAAGGAAGGTATCATAATGCCATCTGTGGAGCCAAAAATAATCACAAGGCGACACGTGGATTTTTGGTAAAAATGACAAAGTTACCCCTAAGACACATCGGTTGTCCTACGCACAAGCAGTGGACAATCATTCTTTAATCAAACCAAGAGTGTCCAAAATAGGTAACAAATTCCAAATTATCTCATCCATCCTCATCTTAGGTAATTACTTCATAACCTACAAATTATTCCATATAAATGGAGATTAATTGGCTAATTAATGGATTAATTCCTAATTTATCCATTAATCACCAATTAAATCACCCATTTTCACACAAAAAACCTCTAAGGGCCGGCCACCTCTATTCCCTGTATATATGACCCTATTTTCTCTAAAAGCTAAGCCCACACTCTTGTAAAACTCCAAAAACTCTCCAAACACTTTTTCTCTCTAAATTATAACTTTGGCATCAGAGGTTCTTTGGCCAAAGCCCCCCCCCAATTCATCATGAGCACGTGACGCTCTTGGCCTTAACCTAAGGTGTTAATTGTTTTGGAGGTGCAATTTTGTCCAATATCAAGAAGGTGGAAATTTGCATCCACAAATTGGTGCTTTCATTGAGAGTTGAAATTCACACTCGAAGAAGACTCTCGCATAAAAAAGGTTTTTTCTCTATTTTCTAGTCCACTTTATTTTTCGTACGTTCTTATTATTAGAATTTTTTATTTGCAAAGATTCTTTGATAAAACGAAAAAGAGAAATACAATGGCTAGAAATTTAGAAAACTCCATGAGTGAAAATGCCAATATAAAAGAAATGGGACCACAGCAATCCACACTAAATGTGATCCTCGGGGGAGCGGCACCACGACCACAAGGTTCCACCATAGGAACCACCGCGGTGGCCACCCGCGGCGAGGTCCATGGCACCACTACCACGGCCCAAGCCGTGCCACCAAAGCAAGTCCAAGCCGTGCCATCCAAGGCTCATGGCACCAAGGCCATGACCCACGTTACTCCAAGCCCTAGCCTCGCACCCACGTGCATCACACGCCGAGCAGCCCACTCTCGTGGCCCAACCTGCTCCCATCAAGCAGCCTACTCCCACTGAGCAGTTTGCTCTCGTGGCCCAGCCTGCGCCGGTGGTCCAACCTGCACTCACCAAGCAACTTGCTCATGTGGCCCAGCCTGCTCCCACAGCCCAATCTGCTCCCATGGTCTTCTAAGCAGCCTAAATCGGTCCAAGACTAGTTCAACCATCCCGGCTCCAAATTTCCAGACCGATGATCAAACCGAGAGCATTTTCACCATATTTTTCTGCGGATTTGACATATCCTAGCTCAAATCTCGCGTTCAGAGTCTACCACACTTCCACTGCTCAAGGAGAAACATTCCTTCCAAGCTCTTCTAATCCAATGGCGAACAACACTTGTCTCGACAACTCATAGAGTTGAAGAGTGCCTTAGCACAGCAGACAACCTTGGTGAACCAGCTCTTGTAACGCACGAAGATGCAACGTGTTCCAAACGAGGTGTCCCGAAGAAGGACAAGGGCAGACGAAGAACTTCTCCAGCAGTGTCTCGATAAGCAGCCACTCGACCTGCCACGAACCTAGCGTTTCGGCAGAGTACACTCTCGATTAGGCCTCTGAGATAGCGTATACTCCCGTCGTAGAGCCTGGAAAAGCGTGCATTCTCGACTAGGCCCACGAACGAGCATACACTCACGGTTAGGGCCACACTCCGATAATTAACATGAGCAGTCTTCCAAACAAAGTGCTCATTCATGGCTAGGCCCGCAAGGATCATCATCTATATCACATCGGAGTAGGCAGCATGACGGTAGGAAAGAAGCAGTCACTCAATCCAGCTCAAGTTCAACCAGCAGCCTGCGAAATCCTTCGCCTGCTAGGAATCCACTATATGCACTGCTGCCGCGGCAGAGATGAGCCGAGCACGTAGAAGAGCAGCCTAGACCAGCAGGTCAAGACTGGGGCAGCTGAGAGCTCTGCCACTCCCAACAAAGGCAAATTCAGGAAGAAGTAGAAAGGCTCTTGACCAAGCAATTGCGTAATTTCCTGCGCAACGAAGCTATTGACAAGGGACTCCGATAAGACATGACCAACATGAGCGAGTCATCTTTCAATGACAAGATCGAGCAGAGAGGACTACCCCACATAGATTGTCTGATATAAAGACAACCTCTGCTCTGACAAACGCAGCAACTCAGCCTAATGGTGCGCCGGGCGCAGACGAGTACCAGAAGGACACACCAGCCCAATTACCAAGAACCGGGGGCAGGCTAAGGATTATTTCGGTTGTCCTAGTAATCCATGTTTCCTCAGGTGCACTCACAACAATGATTTCCATGCTCTCCAGTGTAAAAGGGTAAACTAATTGTTTTCCAGTGCGAAAAGGTAAACCAATTCCCCAACACCCATATGGGTCTGCTCTCAAGTGCGAAAGGATAAACTAATTGCTCTCCAGTGCGAGAGGGTAAACCAATTCCCCGACACCCCAAAAGGATCTGTTCTCCAGTGCAAAAGGATAAACCAATTGCTCTCCAGTACGAGAGGGTACCTCAATTCCTAACACCCCAAAAGGGTATGCTCTCCAGTGCGAGAGGATAAACTAATTGCTCTCCAGTGCAAGAGGGTAAACTAATTGCTCTCCAGTGCGAGAGGGTAAACTAAATCCCTGACACCCATCTGGGTAAGCTCTCCAGTGTGAGAAGGCCACATAGCTCAAAAAATCGAATGCTTGAAGATCAACTAAGCAACATATGTTGAAAAATCAAAATCAAGCGGTTTCCTCATTTTCAGCAGGCAGCCCAGACGTGGCAGCCCAAATAATTGCCTATTCCACGCCACCTCTTCGACCCATGCCGAACCAATTCTTAGCTTCAATCAAGCCAAGTTGCTCAAGCAATGGCCTCTGCCACATCACCCCCTTGGCCTATGCCAAGCCAACTCCTAGCCCCTGCCAGCCGACGTGCAGCACCACCCAGACAACTGCCCCATGGCAGCACCACCCAAGAAGAATACAAGAAGAAATTAAGTTTTTATTACATTGGTGCGGCACGAAGAAGACAAAGAAAGCAACGAAAGACGGTCCTTTGCACAGGCAAGATGTAGAAGATTGCTAGAGGAGGGGGAACAAATATCCTCTAAGCTCTCTCTCTCTCTCTCTCTCTCTCTCTCTCTATCTCTCTCTCTCTCTTGTAGGGTAGAATAAATCACTCTACAAAGTTGATTTAAGGTGGACTTAAATAGGCTTTGAGAGAAATTTATTTTCCTTTCCTACAATGATCTAATTTCATATTAAAGAGGGAATCTACATCAAAACATGAAGCAATCCTAAGTTTCCTAGAGCAAGAAGATCTCTACACCTGCTGCCCTTTCCTACGAGCAACCCAACAGGTGTGGGGGCATTTGTGGAGCCAAAAATAATCACAAGGCGACATGTGGATTTTTGGTGAAAATAACAAAGTTACCCCTGAGACACACCAGTTGTCCTACGCATGAGCAATGGACACTCATTCTTTAATCAAGCCAAGAGTGTCCAAAATAGGTAACAAATTCCAAATTATCTCATCCATCCTCATCTTAGGTAATTACTTCATAACCTACAAATTATTCCATATAAATGGAGATTAATTGGCTAATTAATGGATTAATTCCTAATTTATCCATTAATCACCAATTAAATCACCCATTTTCACACAAAAAACCTCTAAGGGCCGGCCACCTCCATTCCTATATATATGACCTTATTTTCTCTAAAAAGCTAAGTCCACACTCTTGTAAAACTCCAAAAACTCTCCAATCACTTGTTCTCTCTAAATTCTAACTTTGGCATCAGAGGTTCTTCGGCCAAAGCACCCCC